ATACACACTCCCCCATTGCATATCAGGAAGGGATCAAAGAGGGGGGACGCCATGGGCCACGATGTTCCAGATGACCAATCGGCCCAACCCGGCGATACTGCTCTGCAGTTGCACGGTGGTGGTAGTGGCAGCGGGGGCTCCCACTGAAAAGCCTGGCGGAAGAGCTCCGTCTTGCAGACCCTGCGGAACTGTAAGAGGTCCCACAGGGCCCTGATCTCTTCCGGGAGCTCATTCCACCAGGTAGGAGCTGCCACTGAAAAGGACCTGGCCCTCGTGGTTGCCACCCTGGCTTCTTTAGGGCCCAGGGTCACCAGGCCGTGTTGCGACCCCGACCAAAGTGCTCTTTGGGGCCTGTGTGGGGAAAGGGGGTCCCTCAGGTATGCCGGACCCTGGCCATTATTATAGGGAGCCAGTTTGGTGTAGCAGTTAAGTGTGCGGACCCTAATCTGGGAGAACCGGGTTTGATTCCCCACTCCTCCACTTGCACCTGGTGGTGTGACCTTGGGTCAGTCACAAGCTCTGGCACAGCTGTTCCTGAAAGAGCAGTTTCTGTCAGAGCTCTCTCAGCCCCACCCACCTCACAGGGTGTGGCATCAAAGCCAGTTCTTGGCACCAGCTGAGAGTCACAAAGGAATCACCAGATCTTCCTCTGGCTGGACGTGGGAGGTCCGAGAACTGAACAGCCTCTGTTGCTCTTCAAAGACGAGATTGGGGGGGGGGGGCAAAAAATAGAAGAAGAAGAGGAGATTGGATGTATACCCCGCCCTTCACTTGGAGTCTCAGAGCGGCTTACAAACACCTTTCCCTTCCCCTCCCCACAACAGACACCCTGTGAGGTAGGTGGGGCTGAGAGAGCTCTGACAGAAACTGCTCTTTTCCAAGAACAGCTCTTACCAGAACTATGGCTTGCCCAAGGCCATCCAGCCAGGTGCGAGAGGAGGAGTGGGGAATCAAGCCCGGTTCTCCCAGATTAGAGTCCGCGCACTTCACCACGACACCAAAGGGGAATGGGAGAACCCCAGGGAAATCGTCCTGGGCTCAAGAGGAGCCTCGTTCAGACATAGTGATTTGTGAAGCTCTTGGCCAGCTAATCCAGCCGACTTGTGCCCAGAGCGGAGGACAGCAGGTGGCGCCAAAGAGGCACCATAAAAACCAGGCCTGGCTGGGCCCTCTCTTTGTGTGCATTTCCACGAATTAGGGGTTGCCAGGTTTGGGACTACCTGGAGATTTTGGAAATGCAGCCTCGGGAGGAGACGGACTTCAGCCAGATATTTCTGGAGATTCCGGGGGTGAAGTCTGGGGAGGGGAGGGATCGGAAATGAGAGGGGCCTCAAGGGGGGGGGGGGCGTAATGCCATGGAAGCCACCCCCCAAAGCAGCCGTTTCTGTCATCTGGAGATCAGTTGTCATTCCGGGAGAATCCCACCGGAGGGATGGCAACAAACGCTCCCTCTAAGCTGTGGAGTCTTGTGAGTTCGCTTCAAGCTGTGGAGTTCACTTCAAGGTGCTGGCTCTTACCTTTAAAGCCCTTTATGGCCAGGGTCCGACATACCTGAGGGACCGCCTTTCCCCACACCCCAGAGAGCACTACGGTCAGGGGCACAACACCGGCTAGTGATTCCAGGCCCCAAAGAGGCCAGGCTCACCGCTACCAGGGTCGGGGCCTTTTTGGTGGCGGCTCCTACCTGGTGGAATGAGCTCCCGGAGGAGATCAGGGCCCCACGGGATCTTGTACAGTTCTGCAGGGCTCGCAAGATGGAACTCTTGTGTCAGGCTTTTAACTAGAGTGACGGACGTCCCTCCCTCTTTTCTGGGCCTTCTCAGCCCTGGCCCCTACCTGGTGGAATGAGCTCCCATATGAGATCAGGGCCCTGTGGGACCTTTTACAGTTCCGCAGGGCCTGCAAGACGGAGCTCTTCCACCAGGCTTTTAACTAGAGTGACGGACGTTCCCTCCCTCTTTTCTGGGCCTTCTCAGCCCTGGCCCCTCCCTGGTGGAATGAGCTCCCGTACGAGATCAGGGCCCCACGGGACCTTTTACAGTCCCGCAGGGCCTGCAAGACGGAGCTCTTCCGCCAGGCTTTTAGTTCGGAGCCGCCCACCACTGCCACCAACTATTATTGTTAGTAACACCGGGGCAGTTAGTTGGCCATATATGGAGATCGAACCACAGTAGCGTACGAGACAGATACGGCTGAATTGGGACTTGTGTCCATCTGCAGGATGCCATCTTCATTTGGATTGGAAGCTCATTTCTATGTTGAGCACTTTAATTGTAATGATATGGTTGTTTTATCTTGTTCTATCTGGTTTTATAGGTTTTATGTGCTCTGGCACATGGTGCCCTTAAATGTAAGCTGCCCTGAGCCAGTTCGCGCGGAGGGCGGGATAGAAACCCAATAAATAAATAAATAAATAAATAAATAAATAAATAAATAAATAAATAAACATTCTACTTGGTGAGTTCCTGGCATGAAAGTTGTGAGAGAACCATTTGGCTACTGCATCAGTTAGTTTGCTCTGGAGCCCCATCCCTTCCTGAGTGAAGGCAAAAATGTGTGAACCGGAGGCTAAAAAACTGCGAACTAGCTCACACTGACTCAGCTGAGAGGGAACACTGCTCTGGAGCCCTCCTTCCTGAGCTAAGACAAAAATCTGTGAGCCGGAGGCTAAAAAACTGTTGAGCTAGCTCACACTGACTCAGCTGAGAGGGAACACTGCTCTGGAGCCCTCCTTCCTGAGCTAAGACAAAAATCTGTGAGCCGGAGGCTAAAAAACTGTTGAGCTAGCTCACACTGACTCAGCTGAGAGGGAACACTGCTCTGGAGCCCTCCTTCCTGAGCTAAGACAAAAATCTGTGAGCCGGAGGCTAAAAAACTGTTGAGCTAGCTCACACTGACTCAGCTGAGAGGGAACACTGCTCTGGAGCCCTCCTTCCTGAGCTAAGACAAAAAATGCATGAGCCCGAGGCTAAAAAAACTGTGATCTGGCTCACACTAACTCAGCTTAGAGGGAACACTGCTCCGGAGCCCTCCTTCCTGAGCGAAGACAAAAACGTGTGAGCCGGAGGCTAAAAAACCGTGAGCTAGCTCACACAAAACTCAGTTTCGAGGGAACACTGCTCTGGAGCCCTCCTTCCTGAGCTAAGACAAAAAATGCATGAGCCCGAGGCTAAAAAAACTGTGATCTGGCTCACACTAACTCAGCTTAGAGGGAACACTGCTCCGGAGCCCTCCTTCCTGAGCTGAGACGAAAACGTGTGAGCCGGAGGCTAAAAAACTGTGAGCTAGCTCACACTAAACTCAGCTTAGAGGGAACACCGCTGGCCACCCCACCACCAATCAACTTAGACATATAGATCTTAGATCCATAGATCCAGGAGCACAGCAGGATCAAGGCCAGTGTTCCCTCTAAGCTGAGTGAGCGTGAGCTGGCTCACAGTTTTTTAGCCTCTGGCTGGCAGACATTTTTTGTCTTAGCTCAGGAAGGAGGGCTCCAGAGCAGACTAATTGATGCAGCAGCTGAATCGCTCGCTCACAACTTTAATGCCAGGAGCTCACAAAGTAGAATTTTTGCTCATGAGACTCCACGGCTTAGAGGGACCATTGATCCAGGCCCGTGTTCTTTTCCCTTTTTTTCACTAGCGGTTTCATAGTTTTGCAGCAAGTAAATGATTTATCTTCAGTATTGCGTGGCGGCATAAATCATTAACTTGGTTTCGCACGCGGGGCTTGTTTCATGCTCCCTTCCGTTGTGAGAAATGTTTGCTCAGCTCTTGGCATACATGAAGCGAAGTTACCCATTATGGCCCAATTGTCCTGCTTCGGATATCTCTATTGTCCGTATATAATAGAGGTGTCATAGATGGCGGGCATATTCCTCATACGGATTCCCCCTCCCGTCAGCTTCCAGACCTCAGCTCAGCCAACAAAACCACCCTGGTCATAGGGAAATCTTCACTTCTCTGCAACCGAGTTGGGGGAGCAGAGAAAAGGAACTAGGTCTGTGGTCAGACAACAGGCTTGGCGTGGTCTGGCTGCACTTCTAATTACACCTGTTTATGTTGTAGAAGAAGGAGACTGGATTTATACCCCCCGCCCTTCACTCGGAGTCTCAGAGCGGCTTACAAACTCCTTTCCCTTCCCCCTCCTCAGAACAGATACACCCTGTGAGGTCGGTGGGGCTGAGAGAGCACTTTCCAGAACTGTCCATGAGAGAACAGCTCTGACAGAACTGTGGCTTGCCCACGGTCATCCAGCAGCTGCAAGTGGAGGAGTGGGGAACCAAACCCGGTTCTCCCAGATTAGAGTCCACGCACTTAACCACGACACCAAACTGGCTCTTTTTCAAGAACAGCTCTGAGAGAACTTGTGACTGACCCAAGGTCATCCAGCAGCTGCAAGTGGAGGCGTGGGGAACCAAACCCGGTTCTCCCAGATTAGAGGCCGCGCACTTAAACCACGACACCAAACTGTAGCGGAACGTTTCGATTGGACAGCTTCCTCACACGCTCGCTCCGTGGTCAGTCATCCAGATTAGTGCTGCATGTCAACCACAGAGCACACGGTCTGGTTGGTTTTCTAAAACAAATTTGGGTGCGCATGCGCCTATGTGCTTACATGCACATCTGCAAGAATTTTTTTTTAAATGCAGAGGTTCACCCTTCCCAACCGGCTTCAGTTCTCAACAGGGAAGTTCGGACATCTGGAAACAAAGAGTGAAAGCGCTGACATCCGTAAAGACCAGACTTTCTCCGGATTCCATTAACTCCGATTCGAGGGCGGGACAGAACCAGGTGCCGACAACTGGGGAATGGGAGGCAGGTGTTGCTGCCTGATCGTGCACCTTAAATCCGCACAGGAACAGCAACGACATCGGATCAAATGGCTTGTCTGACCGCAACCTAGGTGGAGATGCCAAGGACGGACTCTGAGCCCTTCTGCACATAAACCAAGTGTCTGATCCCTCTTCATCCCTTTCCCAAAAATCAGTCGATGACTACCTGAGTCTTGTAGAAACGATGGACGGCACTGCTGAGGGCGCAGCCGACGAACCCCTGAGACGCGTCCGGATCGTGGAGGAAGCGGATTTCGAGGGGGATGGAATTCTTCCCCACGTCGATCGACTGGATGAGCTCATGGGTGGTCCAATCCCACACGTGGATGTTGCCACCGTAGCACCCTAAAAATAACAGATGAATGATAAAAAAACCAAAAAGAGCTCGAGAGCAGAACTGAGCTTAGATATGTGTACCTTTTCTCTCCACCCACTTTCACCCCACCAAGAGCACAAGCAAAATCTCCAAACCCAACTTGGCGATGCCGGGGATTGAACCTGGGACCTTCTGCATGCCAAACAGGTGCTCTACCACGGAGCCACAGCGCGTCCCCAAACCTGTGGTCCATCAAGGTCAGTCTTGTCTACTCAACTGGCAGCTGCTCTCCAGGGTCTCGGGCGGAGGTCTTTCCCATCACCTTTTGCCTGGTCCTTTGAACTGGAGGGGCCAGGGATTGAACCTGGGACCTTCTGCATGCCAAGCGGAGGCTCTTCCACTGAGCCATGGCCCCTCTTTACAGCTCTCCAGGGTCTCAGGCAGAGGTCTTTCCCATCACCTCCTGCCTGGTCCTTTGAACTGGAGGGGCCAGGGATTGAACTCTACCACTGAGCCATGGACCCTCTCCAAAGTGAAAGAGAACATAGGAAGCGGGGTATAAATCCAATCTCCTCCTCCTCCTCCTCCTCCTCTTCTTCTTCTTCCAAAAGCCCTCTTTCCTCCTTCACACGAACTTTCCGTTCCTAGGTTCCTACTTCTTTCACCTCTCTCAGGCTCTTCAACCCCGTTGGAAGCCCGAACTTCTTGAGATCAAGGACGGTTCCCCCTCCTGAGCGCCCAACCCCTCCGCGACAACCAGGCGGCCGACCCAAATGTCCCGGGATCCAGTTGCCAGCCTTTGCGTGGGGCCTGGAGATCTCCCGGAGAGACAACTGATCTCCAGGAGGCAGAGATCTGAGTTCCCTCCCCAAGCTCCACCCCCAAATCTCCAGAAATTTCCAAACCTGGAGTTGGCAGCCCTAGGGGGACTCCGTTGCTGCTTCTGACATTAGGAGGGAAATGCATCTTTATTCTTAGAGTCCAGGGGCACCTTTAAGACCAACAAAGGTTTATGCGACGTATGAGCTTACACACTTTTTTAGATACATTGAAATGGAAGTTAACAGTTCATATATTTCATTCAATTTTTAGAGACCCCTGATGATTTTAAGCCCTTTTTCTTGCTCGATAATCCAGATACCGAAATAACTGAAATAGTAGCAGAGTTTCTCTGCTCTGACATAGTCCTATGGCCTGATAAGTGATATTATGAATTAGGTTTTATTATGATGTTACTCTGCAATTTTAATTTTACTCTGCATGATTTTGTATTTAGATTACTGTATCTTTATTTATATGCCAATAAAAGGCTTTGGATTGATATAAGAACTGTTAAGTGCTGCGGTAGCTCAGGGGTTAAGACGCTGAACTGCAGACTGGAATGTCAGTAGTTCGGCAGTTCGAGACCCGACTGTCTCATGACGGAATGAGCTCCCATCGCAGTGGTGAGATAGAGTCAATGGCACATGTCCATCCTCATGGTTCTTTCTCCAATGAAATTCATACTGCCCTTATCTTCCCAATACTTGAGCTCTGTCCTGACATCTCCGACTCTCAGACAATGTTCCCTCTAAGCTATGGAGTCTTGTGAGCAAATATTCTACTTTGTGAGCTACTGGCATTAAAGTTGTGAGCAAGCAATTCGGCTACTGTGTAAATTAGTTTGCTCTGGAGCCATCCTTCCTGAGCGAAGAGAAAAATCTGTGAGCTAGCTCACACTAACTCAGCTTAGAGGGAACACTGCTCTCAGATCATTAACATACTTCTCTCTGATGTGAGTATAGAGACCACCTGGAAAGTTGCTAAATTCTGCTCCCAAGGGATTAAATTGTGTTCCATATACATTTCCCAACTTAATGTGGAAGATAGTAGCTGATTGTATTCTATATCTATATTTTTTTAATGTAGTTAGGTTAGAAATTGGCGTATTTGTATGAGTATTAGTTTTAATTACTCTTATACACTTTTATATTTGTATACCTTAATTTTTATATTTTATCAGGCGATGGTCATTCTTTTACTTACTTATTTGTATTCTGGTCATGGACTGTCAATAAAGGCCCTGTTCACACGCGGAATTTGCAGCGGGAGAGGCACAAATGTCGGGCGGAGTATACGGGCGCGATGACAAGGACACATCTGGCAAGTGTAGCCCACCCATCGCCGACCCGTAGCATCCGCCCGAAGACCCGGAGTTAAAAAATAGGAGTTAAAAAACACCCGGGAAAGCCTACTAGCAAACAGTTTGCAACGGGCCGTCGACGGAATACCTACGTGTGATCAATCAAGCGCCCTCTTGACGAGCGTCGAAAACACCCGCCGACAAACAAAACCCCACTTTGCCACCGCGGCGTCTGATCGCGTTCTGGCATGTTAAATTGCGCCGGCACGAAAAGCCACGCCTCCCCCCCCGCATTATCTGGCCCGTGTGACTGGGGCCAAAGTAAAGCAAAGAGCTCCCGTCTCTGGTCCCAGCTCCTCCCAACCTAGCAGTTCGAAAGCGGTGGGAAGGTAACAGCGTTCCGTGCGCCTTGGCGTCTAGTCATGCCGGCCACATGACCACGGAGATGTCTTCGGACAGCGCCGGCTCTTCGGCTTGGAAACTGAGATAAGCACCGCCCCCTAGAGTCAGATTCGACTAGCTTTCGAGCAAGGGAAACCTTTACCTTTTACCTTTATGAACTGTTAACTTCCCTTTCAATGTATCTGAGGAAGTGTGCATGCACACAAAAGCTCATCCCTTGAATAAACCTTTGATGGTCTTAAAGGTGCCGCTGGACTCTAAATTTGTTCTACCGCTTCAGACCAAGACGGCTGACTACCTGGATTTATTCTTCAAGGCAGAGATGGCAGCGGGTACACACGGGGCTCACCTTTCTCCAAATCGGCCGGATTAAACCCGTACGCCAGGCATTTCGGCACTCCCCATTCGGTGCTCATCAGGACGTTGTGTCTCGGCTGGTACCAAAAGTCATAGCCTAGCTTGGGAGCGTTGGATCCTCTTTCCCAGTTCCCCTTCACCTCAAAGGTCTCTCCATCCAACAGGACAAAACCACCTGGATATACAAAAATCATCGTAATTGCTCACTGGATGCCTTTTCTGAAAAACCGTCAATGCCTGACTGCGGAATGGTGTCCGTGCCTCTCCTTCATGGGGGGAAACAAGAAAGTACTTCCCACATACAGTTGCCAGCCTCCAGGTGGCCAGAACCCCAAACGGCAGAGATGCATGGGAGTAATACAAAAGATGACAAACCGTGCACGAAAAGCGAAAAGTATATTCAACAATCAATGGGTATAATAATCTAAATCTATATAAATTGGGTAGTTTTTCAAAAATACAATATAGTAGCCAGAAAGACAAAAGTACACGGTCCAAATACAAAAACAACCCTATTAATCCAGCTTCAGAAATAGTCCCAAGTCAAATAGTACACAGTCCAAATACAGATGTTCATAATTCCTTGTCACAAAATCCTCGTCACAAGCAGGGGTCATTTCCTGCAGGAGCGCACAGGAGCGGAGCTCCGGCAGTAAAGAGCCCAGGGGGCGGGCACATGCAACAAGCTCCACCCCCTGCTCCCAGCAGCCCCAGGCCATGAGGAGCAAGAAGCCTTTCTTTCTTTCTTTCTTTCTTTCTTTCTTTCTTTCTTTCTTTCTTTCTTTCTTTCTTTCTTTCTTTCTTTCTTTCTTTCTTTCTTTCTTTCTTTCTTTTTTCCTTCCTTCCTTCCTTCCTTCCTTCTCTCCCTTTCCCGCCTTATTTCCTTCTCTCCTTCCTTCCTTCCCTTTCCCGCCTTATTTCCTTCTCTCCTTCCTTCTCTCTGTCCCTCCTTCTTTCCTTCTCTTTCCTTCTCTTTTTTCCCTCCTTCCTTCCTGCACAGATCAATGTGTCTCCCCCTCCCACCTAGCAATCCAAAACAGTCCATTGACACCTTTAAGGCCAAAGTTTATTCTGGCTCACAGATTTTTGTCTCAGCTCAGGAAGGAGGGCTCCCGAGCAGACTGATTCATGCAGCCGCCAAATTGCTCGCTCACAACTTTAATGCTGGTAGCTCACCAAGTAGAATTTTGGCTCACAAGACTCCACAGCTTAGAGGGAGCATTGCTATCCACCTGAATCTAACTGATCTCCCGGCGACAGAGATCAGTTCCCCTGGAGAAGATGGCTACTTTGGAAGACGGACTCTATGGCGTTGTACCCTGCTCGAGGTCCCCCGCCCTCCCCGGGCTCCACCCCCAAAATCTCCAGATGTTTCCCAACCCAGAGCGGGGAATCCTATTACCTCAGATGGGGCACTTTTTTTAAAAAAGGACAGGTGAAGTTTCTAGCCCTCATGACTGCAATGATGTGCTTGAAACCACCAAGGAAGTCCAGGGTTGCTAAGCAGAGGCAGGCAATGGCAAACCACCTGTCATGATCTGGGCTGTGCCACCAGAGGCCTACTAGGCCCAGGGAGCCTGGCTAGCAGTAGGTGAGGCTGGGCCTACAACTCCCAGAAGCCCCTGAGAAGTTTTGGAGCCAAACTTGACCAATAGGAAAAGATGAGGGCTTGGAATAAAAGATCTGGAGCAGCAGGAAAAGCTGTTCTTCTTCCCAGAGGGCAGAGCCAGAAGGAAGGCTGCTGCAGGGGAAGAGACCCTCATCCGGAGGGAAGGGTGAGTAGTCTGGTGACACTTGGAATAGTGAGCTAGGGACAGCATATATTTAGACGCGTTTGGGCATTTGATTTCTTTTCTTTTCACCCACTTACTGTTATTATTCTGCACCTCGTTGTTTGACCTCCTATAAAAATAAACCTTTTCCTTGTTGTACTCTGCCTGGTCCTCACGCCTGTTATTCGGCCAAAAGGGAGGTCAGAAGGTCTTGGGAGGGGGCTCTGGGCCTTCTCAAGGGAACCTAAATCCAGAGTGGTGGCAGCGTCAGGTGACACCTCCCACCTGAGCCACGACACCACCTCTGTTCGTCTCTAGCCTTGAAAACCCCACAAGGGGTCTCCAGAAGTCGTCTGTGACTTGACAGCAAAAAAATGGGAGGGGGGGCTTAGAGAGTGAGAGGGGGACTTTATACTGGCTCCCCTGAGCTTCTTGGAAGAAACACAAGATAAAAATGCAACACTTAGATCAGGGAAGGGTCGCCACTCCCTCGCGGTGCCAGGGAAACCCCCAACTTCCAGGGCTTCCCCACCCCCAAACAGGGACGTTGCCGTGCAAAGTCCCCGACGCGATGAAGTCACCTGGAAGTGACATCATCGCTCCGGGGACATCACGTGGGGACACTCTGGTATTTGGGCAAACTCTATGGTTTTCCCAGCCTCAGAAACATAGAGTTTGCCCAAATACCAGAGTGTCTCCTGCACGACGTCCCCGGGTGACATCATCATGACGGGGACATCATGCAATGTCCCCGCCCACCCCTGGAATGCCTCCCAAAATCCCCTGCTCCAGCCATGGTAAGACCTGGCAACCCTACATCAGGGATACTGAAGATGGTGCCTGTGGTGCTTTCCAACTGCTTTCCCAGCCACCCGCCAAGCGTTTTTAAAAAGTGGGCGGGTCCAGATGGGGTTTCCACCCAGCAAGGATTCTGATTGGCCACTGGAGATTTGATTGGCTGGGGCAGATTTTTTTAAAACTTTGGTTAGGCAGAAGCTGCCAGTACAGCACCAGGCTCTTCTGTGCGTGACTGAAGGCAAGCGGCAGCCGCCATTTTGAGACTGGCTCCGCCTCCTGCAGCAGCCATTTTGAGATTGGCTCCACCTCCTGCAGCGGCCATTTTGAGACTGGCTCCGCCTCCTGCAGCGGCCATTTTGAGACTGGCTCCGCCTCCTGCAGCGGCCATTTTGAGATTGGCTCCGCCTCCTGCAGCGGCCATTTTGTGGATGCACCCACCGCCCCTGTGTCAGAATCCCAAAGCTCAAAAATGTTGAGGATCCAGGACTGAGATTGTTCACACAGCCAGGACCCCCTTTGAAACGGCTACCTTTCCCGTTGCCGGAAGGGTCTCCCATGGCGCTGATCATGATTTCGCCGGTGCCCAGGCAGTGACTAGTGTGGGGGTTGGCCAAGTTGCACTTCCAGTACACCTCAAAGGGCTCGATTACCTAAGGAAAGGTTTATGCAAAAGGTTAGGCTCCTTGTGGTGCCAAGAGCCACCAACATCATTTACATTCAGTGCCTCCACCTCTCATTCATCAGATCTGAATCAAAAAATATTTATGCATCAGAAACCAAATATTGGGTTGGATCCCATGAATTCTGTTTTCCCCAGGAGTAATAAGATTTCCCTTCTTGCATCAGGGAAAGGTTCCTCGCATTCAGAGGCAGTCAACTTCTGACTCCCAGTGCCAGGAGGCAAAATCAGGGGAAGGCCTGGGCCTCTCTGCCCTGTTGTTGTTCCTCCAGAAGAACTGGTTGGCCACTGTGTGAGACAGGAGGCTGAACTAGATGGACCCTCCCTGGTCTGACCCACCAGGGCTCTTCTGGCGCTCTTCTCACGGGAAAGGCCTGGGCCTCTCTGCCCTGCTGTTGGCCCTCCAGAGGGACTGGTTGGCCACTTTGTGAGACAGGGGGCTGGACTGGATGGACCCTCAGAGGTCTGACCCAGCAGGGCTCTTCTTCTGATGTTCTTCTCAGGGGAAGGCCTGGGCCTCTCTCCAGAGGAACTGGTTGGCCCCTGTGTGAGACGGGATGCTGGACTAGGTGGACCCTCACTGGTCTGATCCAGCAGGGCTCTTCTTCTGATGTTCTTCTCAGGGGAAGGCTTCGGCCTCCCTGCCCTGTTGTTGGCCCTCCAGAGGAAGTGGTTGGCCACTGTGTGAGACGGGAGGCTGGACTAGATGGACCCTCACTGGTCTGATCCAGCAGGGCTCATCTGATGTTCTTCTCAGGGGAAGGCTTCGGCCTCCCTGCCCTGTTGTTGGCCCTCCAGAGGAAGTGGTTCGCCATGGAGTGAGACGGGTGACTGGACTAGAGGGACCCTCCCTGGTCTGACCCAGCAGGGCTCTTCTGATGCTCTTATCAGGGGAAGGCCTCGGCCTCTCTGCTCTGTTGTTGGCCCTCCAGAGGAAGTGGTTGGCCACTGTGTGAGACAGGAGGCTGGACTAGATGGACCCTCACTGGTCTGATCCAGCAGGGCTCATCTGATGTTCTTATGTCCTTGTTCCAGGGGAAAATACCGCCATTAGCGGAATGGATTTGCGAGGTCCAACCCATTCTTCCTAAATGGTTCAAAAGAGGAGAAACTCCATGCTCCATTGAGACGCCTTCTTTAAGATCTTGTATGCCCCTGTGCTGGCCACGGTTGCCAACTGCAGCTTGGGAAACTCTTGGAGATTGGGGGGATGATACCTGGGGAAGGCAGAATTTGAGGCGGGGAGGGAGCTCGGGAGGGAAGTGATGTCACAGAGCCCACCCTCCAGAGCTGCCATTTCCTCCGGAGGCTCTGTGTCATCTGGAAATCGATTATGATTCCAGGCCCCACCTGGAGGTTGGCGATCCACTGGCACAGCACCCGGGCCCACGCTTCTTGCTGGTGGCCACTGAACTGGCCACTCTGCAGTTGTGTAGCAAACAGTGTAATTCTAAGCAGAATTTCACAGTTCCCCTGGAGAAAACGGCTGCTTTGGAGGTTGGACTCTATTGGAAGTGGAGAAGTATACGCTATCCCCTGCCTCAGCTATCGGAGACAGGACCACAGGTTTAGAGACAGACAGAGAGGTCAGGACGCACAGAGTGTCCTTTTCTTCCTCATCAACCCATGAAGATGCCATATACTGGATCAGACCCTTGGTCCATCAAGGACGGGACTGTCTACTCAGACCGGCAGCGGCTCTCCAGAGTCTCAGGCGGACGTCTTTCCCATCACCTCCTGCCTGGTCCTTTTTAACTGGAGATGCCGAGGATTGAACCTGGGACCTTCTGCATGCCAGGCAGAGGCTCTACCACTGAGGCACAGCCCCTCTTTACAGCTCTCCAGGGTCTCAGGCGGAGGTCTTTCCCATCACCTCCCGCCTGGTCCTTTTAACTGGAGATGCCGGGGATTGAACCTGGGGCCTTCTGCATGCCAAGCAGAGGCTCTTCCACTGAGCCACAGCCCCGCTTTACAGCTCTCCAGGGTCTCAGGCGGAGGTCTTTCCCATCACCTCCTGCCTGGTCCTTTGAACTGGAGATGCCGGGGATTGAACCTGGGACCTCCTGCATGCCAAGCAGAGGCTCTGCCACTGAGCACAGCCCCTCTTTACAGCTCTCCAGGGTCTCAGGCGGAGGTCTTTCCCTTCACCTCCTGCCTGATCCTTTTTAACTGGAGATGCCGGGGATTGAACCTGGGACCTTCCGCATGCCAGGCAGAGGCTCTTCCACTGAGACACAGCCCCGCCTTACAGCTCTCCAGGGTCTCAGGCGGAGGTCTTTCCCATCACCTCCTGCCTGGTCCTTTTTAACTGGAGATGCCGGGGATTGAACCTGGGGCCTTCTGCATGCCAAGCAGAGGCTCTGCCAATGAGCCACAGCCCCATTTACAGCTCTCCAGGGTCTCGGGCTGTGGAAGGTCAGTAGTTCAGCAGTTCGAGACCGGGGTGCCGCATGATGGAGTGAGCTCCCGTCTCTAGTTCCAGCTCCTGCCAACCTAGCAGTTTGAAAGCAAGGAATTGCGAGTAGATAAATAGGTACCACTTCGGTGGGAAGGGAACAGCGTTCCGTGCGCCTCGGTGTTTAGTCATGCCGGCCACATGACCATGGAAACGTCTTCGGACAGCGCTGGCTCTTCGGCTTTGAAACGGAGATGAGCACTGCAACCCTAGAGTCGGATTCGACTGGCTTTCGAGCAAGGGAACCTTTACCTTTTCTTTAGGGTCTTGGGCAGAGGCCTTTCCCATCACCTCCTCCCTGGTCCTTTGAACTGGAGATGCCAGAGATTGAACCTGGGGCCTTCTGCATGCCAAGCAGAGGCTCTACCTCTGGGAGCTCTGGGTCAAAAAGTCCCGTCCTCCTGGGTGACCTTGGCCCAATTACTCTCTCTTGGCCTACTCAATCTCACGGGCAAAAGGATCATTACGTGCGTCATCCTGACCTCTTTGGAAAAACACCATTAGACCCAATGAAGAGATCTGATGTGCCAAATGCCTTTTAAAAGTTTTACTAGCGTGGGCAAAGATGCCCATTCTTTGGGCTGCACCCTCCGTTCTCATGGGTTCCTAGAAGTGAAATCTCTGAGTGCCAGTGGGGTAGAAGGGAAAACGTCTTGGCGAGAACAAAGGTGCCAATTTCACACGCCGCAGCTGGCGAGGCGTGGCTTGAACGGTCAGCCCCACATTGCGAGACAATTGTACTTTTATAGGCTATATCCTCAGTCGAAAGTACACACACGCCCTTCTGGCTTTTAAAGCTGGGACCGGGGCCACATTATGAGACTTCCGTGGGCCCCAGGCAATATCGCCTCCGTGGGCCCCATCCTCTTCCTCCATAAACAAATATTAAAAACGACATTTTACAACCGCGTTGGTATAAAGACGAATACAACCCAGCCTGGATTACATTCGTCTTTATAACAGAGCAGTCAAAGTATGTATTAGGGTGGCCAAGCAGGGTTCCCTCTAAGCTGAGTCAGTGTGAGCTAGCTCCGTTTTTTAGCCTCTGGCTCACACATTTTTGCCTTGGCTCAGGAAGGAGGGCTCCAGAGCAAACTAATTTATGCAGTAGCCAAATCGCTCGCTCACAACTTTAATGCCAGCAGCTCACAAAGTAGCATTTTTGCTCACAAGACTCCCCATCATAGAAGGAGCATTGCTTGGGGCCAGTGTCCCCTCTAAGCTGAGTCAGTGTGAGCTAGCTCCGTTTTTTAGCCTCTGGCTCACACATTTTTGCCTTGGCTCAGGAAGGAGGGCTCCAGAGCAAACTAATTTATGCAGTAGCCAAATCGCTCGCTCACAACTTTAATGCCAGCAGCTCACAAAGTAGCATTTTTGCTCACAAGACTCCCCATCATAGAAGGAGCATTGCTTGGGGCCAGTGTCCCCTCTAAGCTGAGTCAGTGTGAGCTAGCTCCGTTTTTTAGCCTCTGGCTCACACATTTTTGCCTTGGCTCAGGAAGGAGGGCTCCAGAGCAAACTAATTTATGCAGTAGCCAAATCGCTCGCTCACAACTTTAATGCCAGCAGCTCACAAAGTAGCATTTTTGCTCACAAGACTCCCCATCATAGAAGGAGCATTGCTTGGGGCCAGTGTCCCCTCTAAGCTGAGTCAGTGTGAGCTAGCTCCGTTTTTTAGCCTCTGGCTCACACATTTTTGCCTTGGCTCAGGAAGGAGGGCTCCAGAGCAAACTAATTTATGCAGTAGCCAAATCGCTCGCTCACAACTTTAATGCCAGCAGCTCACAAAGTAGCATTTTTGCTCACAAGACTCCCCATCATAGAAGGAGCATTGCTTGGGGCCAGTGTCCCCTCTAAGCTGAGTCAGTGTGAGCTAGCTCCGTTTTTTAGCCTCTGGCTCACACATTTTTGCCTTGGCTCAGGAAGGAGGGCTCCAGAGCAGGGTTCCCTCTAAGCTGAGTCAGTGTGAGCTAGCTCCGTTTTTTAGCCTCTGGCTCACACATTTTTGCCTTGGCTCAGGAAGGAGGGCTCCAGAGCAGACTAATTGATGCAGCAGCCACATCATGCCGACGGTAGCTCGCAAAGTAGAATTTTTTGCTCACAAGACTCCACAGCTTAGAGGGAGCATTGGTGGTCCCCCACCGCCGGGCTTGGCTAGACCCCGCCGCCCTGCCGCCGATCAGCTGCCCGGCGGGGGGGGGGCTTACCTCAAAAATGGCCCAAGCCCACCCTGACCTGGATCCTAGCCCAGGCAAGCCCAATCTCATCCGATCATGGAAGGTAAGCCAGGTCAGCCCCGGTTAGTACCCAGAAGGGAGACCACCAAGGAAGTCCCGGGCTCCTACGGAGAGACAGGCAAAGGCAAACCCGCCTCTGAACACCTCTTGCCTTGAAAATTCTATGGGGTCGCTGTTAGCCGGCTGCGACTGGACAGTGCTTCCACCACTACACATGAAGCCGCCGTATACTGAATCAGACCTTCGATCCATCATGGTCGGTATTGACTGCTCAGCAGGGCTCTTTTTGTAGACAATGCCCAGCAGGAACTCATTAGCATAATAGGCCACACCCAAGAGCAGGAACTCATTAGCATATTGGGCCACACCCCTGACAGCACCGCTCATTAGCACATTAGGCCGCACCCCCATGTTACCAGAAGTGTGCTCATCCAGCCACACCCACCTTTTGCTTGTTATTCTGTTGACCTTGTTTGCTGTCAAAACCCAGGGCTTTTTTTTGTAGGAGGAACTCCTTTGCATGTTAGGCCACACACCCCTAACGTAGCCAATCCTAATGAGTTTCTAGTGTTGGGTGTGCCCTATTATGCTAATGAGTTCCTGCTGGGCGTGGCCAACTGGGGAGCCAGCCGGAACACCGTTCCTGTGCGTTCCTGCCCAAAAATAGCCCTGCTGCTCAGACTGCCGGCGTCTCCAGGGTCTCAGGCGATGATCCTTCACATCGGATCCTTCTAGCTAAAGATTCTGGGGATTGAACCGGGGACCTTCTGCATGCCAAGCAGAGGCTCTGTCACTGAGCCACGGCCCCTCCCCAGTCCCAAGTCCAGTATCACAAAGTTTGGTTGCATACTCCTCAGAGGGTTCCTGGGGCCATTTCAGATTGGGAAAACAGCTCGGGGGAGACCGCTTCAGCTCCTTCTTCCTGGACACCACAATACAATACAAGAACTCCTTGTGGGCACTCCGTGAAACTGCTGAGCGGTCGGGTTAGAACGGGTAAAAGGAAGTCCTTCTTCACCCAAAGAGTGATTAACACATGGAATTCACTGCCACAGAAAGTGGTGGCGGCTACAAGCACAGACGGCTTCAAAAGGGAATTAGATAAGCATATGGAGCAGAGGTCCATCAGTGGCTATGAGCCACAAGGTATAGATAGGGGCTTCGGGGCAAGGGATGCTCTGTCTTCTTGGTGCTTGGGGGGGTCAACAGTGGGAGGGCTTCTAATGTCCTGGACCCGCTGGTGGACCTCCTGATGGCACCTGGTATTTTTGGCCACTGTGTGACACAGAGTGTTGGACTGGATGGGCCTTTGGCCTGATCCAACATTGGCATCTCTTATGTTCTTATGTCTGGGGCAAGGGATGCTCTGTATTCTTGGTGCTTCGGGGGGGGGCAACAGTGGGAGGGCTTCTGGTGTCCTGGCCCCACTGCTGGACCTTCTGATGGCACCTGGTGTTTTTGGCCACTGTGTGACACAGAGTGTTGGACTAGATGGGCCTTTGGCCTTATCCAGCATTGGCTTCTCTTATGTTCTTAAGAGGGGATTGGATGGACAGATGGAGCAGAGGTCCATCAGTGGCTATGAGCCACAAGGTATAGATAGGAACTCTCGGTCTGGGGCAAGGGATGCTCTGTATTCTTGGTGCTTGGGGGGCAACAGTGGGAGGGCTTCTGGTGTCCTGGCCCCACTGCTGGACCTCCTGATGGCACCTGGTATTTTTGGCCACTGTGTGACACCGAGTGTTGGACTGGACGGGCCACTGGCCTGATCCAACATTGGCTTCTCTTATGTTCTTATGGGTAAACATATGGAGCAGAGGTCCATCAGTGGCTATTAGCCACAAGGTATAGATAGGAACTCTCGGTCTGGGGCAAGGGATGCTCTGTATTCTTGGTGCTTGGGGGGGCAACAGTGGGAGGGCTTCAGGTGTCCTGGCCCCACTGCTGGACCTCCTGATGGCACCTGGTATTTTTGGCCACCGTGTGACAGAGAGTGTTGGACTAGATGGGCCTTTGGCCTTATCCAGCATTGGCTTCTCTTATGTTCTTAAGAGGGGATTGGATGGACAGATGGAGCAGAGGTCCATCAGTGGCTATGAGCCACAAGGTATAGATAGGAACTCTCGGTCTGGGGCAAGGGATGCTCTGTATTCTTGGTGCTTGGGGGGGCAACAGTGGGAGGGCTTCAGGTGTCCTGGCCCCACTGCTGGACCTCCTGATGGCACCTGGTATTTTTGGCCACCGTGTGACAGAGTGTTGGACTGGATGGGCCATTGGCCTGATCCAACATTGGCTTCTCTTATGTTCTTATGGATAAACATATGGAGCCGAGGTCCATCCGTGGCTATTAGCCACAAGGGATAGATAGGAACTCTCGGTCTGGGGCAAGGGATGCTCTGTATCCTTGGTGCTTGGGGGGGGGGGTCAACAGTGGGAGGGCTTCTAGTGTCCTGGGCCCACTGCTGGACCTCCTGATGCCCCCTGGTATTTTTGGCCACTGTGAGACAGAGTGTTGGACTGGATGGGCCATTGGCCTTATCCAGCGTTGGTATCTCTTACGTTCTTATGTCTGGGGCAAGGGATGCTCTGTATTCTTGGTGCTTGGGGGGGGCAAGAGTGGGAGAGCTCCTGGTGTCCTGGCCCCACTGCTGGGCCTCCTGATGGCACCTGGTATTTCTGGCCACTGTGTGACCCAGAGTGTTGGACTGGATGGGCCACTGGCCTGATCCAACATTGGCTTCTCTGATGTTCTTAATGCCAATACGAATCGATTCCTTCCTGCTCACCTGGGAAGGAGGTTTCAACCTGAAATCCCCAGTGCACCTCCGGACCCGAGAGCCGTGTAATATGTCGGTGGGTCTTCCTGAGGCTTCTACGAAGATAAGAACGCCAGTGAAGTCCGTACCTTATGGATCCTGGGAGCGCGTGGGTCCGTGCCCATGTCCACCACGTAGATCCGGGAGGAGATGAGGCTGGGGAGGATCATTCTGTTGCGCTTCTTGGTGGTGTCCCCGAAACAGCTGCTGCAGGCGTTCCAGCCGGTGTGGTGGAGCTCGTCGTTGACGTTGGGCATGGGCAAGCGATGGATGATCTATGAGACCAGAAAAGTGAGTGGAACCTCCACGTTCCAAGGCAGGATACCACGGAAGAAATGGGAGGGGTGCGGCTCCCCCAGGGATGATACCCCATCGGCTGGCCACAGCGGGGAAACAGAACCCAAGCCCACAGTGTCCCCTCTAAGCCGAGTTAGTGCGAGCTAGCTCACGGTCTTTTAGCCTCCGGCTCACACATTTTTGTCTCAGCTCAGGAAGGAGGGCTCCAGAGCAAACCAATTTAGACAGCTGCCAAATCGCTCGTTCGCTCACAACTTTAATGCCCAGGAGCTCACAAACTTAGCATTTTTGCTCACAAGACTCCACATCTTAGAGGGAGTGTTGCATGTGACCAGTGTCCCCTCTAAGCTGGGTCAGTGTGAACTAGCTCACAGTCTTTTAGCCTCCGGCTCACACATTTTTGTCTCAGCTCAGGAAGGAGGGCTCCAGAGCAAACCAATTTAGACAGCTGCCAAATCACTCGTTCGCTCACAACTTTAATGCCCAGGAGCTCACAAAGTAGCATTTTTGCTCACAAGACTCCACATCTTAGAGGGTGCGTTGCATGTGACCAGTGTCCCCTCTAAGCTGGGTCAATGTGAACTAGCTCACAGTCTTTTAGCCTCCGGCTCACACATTTTTGCCTCAGCTCAGGAAGGAGGGCTCCGGAGCAAACCAATTTAGGCAGCTGCCGGATCGCTTGCTCACAGCTTTCATGCCAGCAGCTCACAAAGCAGGATTTTTGCTCACAAAACTCCACAGCTTAGAGGGAGCACTACATCCTACAGGGATTTCACAGGTTGAACGTCCCCATTCACTATGCTTGCTCCTCTACACAGCGAAATCCCCATTTGGTTGTTTCAGATCAAGATAAGGCGGCCCTCCTTAAACTTTAGGAAGCTACCTTGAACACAAAAGAAGCTGCCTTACACTGAATCAGACCCTCGGCCCATCACAGTCGGCAAGGGTCATTTTGTAGAAAAAGAGGTGCAGGCGCTCATTAGCATAACTCATTAGCATAACTCATTTGCATATGCCACACCCCCTGACATCACCAGAAGTGTGTCAGAAAGCAACGCCCACCGCTCAGGCTCCACTAGACTGTTTTGGATTGCTAGCTATGGGGGGAGGGAACGTGTAGATCTGCCCTCACAGAGGAGGGAGAGCTTGTACCTGAATAAAACTTGGTCTTAAAGGTGCCACTGGACTGTTTTGGATTGCTAGCTATGGG